ACTTCGGACTTAAACCAGCAAATTCTGATTGAGAGAGCGTTACTCTCACAAAAGTGCTTTGACTTACAGGTGTTTCGAATACCGGTAAATGTAAATAGAACTCAGTACTTTAAGTATCTATTCGACAGTTAATACTGAGTACTTTGAATCGATCCGGAGAGTACATGTGTCAGAGTATTTTGAGTACTGAGTAAATTATGAGTTCTTTTCTGAGTACTGAGTACTTTGAAGTACTCATTTTCAATACTTATAAAAATCGGGTACTGTCCATCGTTTTGAGAATCTAGTTCTGAGTACTTTTGAAATCGATACTGCCTAACACTAATTTTTCTAGGTTTACATAAAAAAAAAAGTTTCTGCATATTGAACCAAGCCTCTATATCCCTATGTTTTTCGACGTTGAATTTATACAGGTAACCATATCCGCTGAAAAACTGGTTCAAATAAAAATCGACTTTCAAGGATACCGGCTGATGCCAGTAGGATCGATTTTTCGCCAGTAAGTATATGCACGGATATAATACTTTCGATTACGAAAGCTGTTCTGTTCTGTTTTCTGTATGTCGATGCATATTTTGGTGATTCACACGCTTAATTTTTCATCAAAAATTTAAAATTCAATTTCTCCCGATAGCGCTTCGCTGTTAAGCACACACATCCGCTTACGGACAGCAATGGTATTCTTTCAACCGAATTAAATGCCAATAGTTAGTTAAAATTTTTACTCACTCCTAAACTCCAAAATTATGTTGTAAAACATTAAAGACCTTTTTTTGTGACAACTCATTGTTGGTCAACTTTAATTACTAAGGTACATACAATCACGACACACGCACATACACGTGCATACATACCTGTTCTCCTATGCGTTTATGCACATCGATATCGAAGCTATTACCTACGGTTTTACTAACATCCGTAAATGCATAACGAAACCCCCTAAACGCTTCTAAAAATGACACAGGAAATGGCCAACTCCGCAGATAAACCTCACTGCGAAGTGAAGTGCGGACGCCGGTCTAAGCACTTCGGCCGGACTCCACAGATTCTGTGCTGCACTGGATTGGGCTAAGAGCCAATTTGGCGTAAATTTGCACACCAAGTGGTCGTCGACGCTGCATCCCTTGAGCAAAGTAAGTCACGCCAACCTGAATGGCAGGCACTGCTCTGCATGGCCACCAACGAGGAGAATGGTCGCCGGAGATGTGTGTCGTGTCACTTGCTGTGTTTTTGCATGTGTGAACGAACAACGTAAATGCGGCATATGCAAAGGGAATTCAGTGTTTGTGGCAACGCCAAATTGCTCCGATAGCAAATACAGGTGATGCATATGTTTAAGTGTACGTAGGTACATTAGGTTGGTCCAAAAATGCACGAGAAAAAGCAAAGTCGGATGTCTAATGCGGTCACCCTCTAAAAATCGAAAAATACATACCCCTGTCCTTTTTATTTCGAAATCAAATAATATTTAGAGGTCGCTCAAAGCGTTCAAAGTTTTCCATACAAAATACATATGGGGGAAAAAAGGTTGTTGTGGAAATGATATCGAATTCTTGAAGATCAATATTTTTCGATCGAGAAACTCTGTTTCTCTTCAAAAGACTTCAGGGAATAGTACCCAATCGTTTATTTTACCATATTTTAATACTAACGATGGGTCTCTTCATTTCCTATTTTGGGGTTTCTGGGGAAACTATCGAATAGAGTTATTTATTAAGTCTGTTAAAGTGAAACAGAGTTTACCGATCGAAAAATATTGATTCTTGAAAAATAGTTTACTTCCCATATAAAATACATGGAAAACTTTAAGCGCTTTGAGCGACCTCTAAATTTTTTTTAATATAAAGATATACAGAAGTATGTGTAGTAGAGAACTATCCTAGGGGGTGAGAGCATAGAATTTCCGAATTTAATTTTTTTTTTCACCACCCTAATGCACATTTGTGTACCTTGGCTGTGTGTGCGCTGAAACCAGCATTCGCTTCCACGAGGTGCTACCTTGTGGGGCGTATGGTTGGACCATTGGATGACACGGTGACAAGGTGACAAACTGAGGACGCTTACCAGCAGACTGGAGGATCAATGCGTTGGTGAGTAGAGTATGCACTCACGTGGTTTCGTTTCATTTGGCGATTTGTGTCGCATCCGCTATGCGGTTTTCCACTTCTATGCGAAAGTGCTGCAACGGAGCGTGAAAGCGGTGCGACAAAACTGTGGCGAATCAGTGGTGAATAGAGAGTATGAAGAAGATGTAAGTACCCCATGTTGTTCGCGCGGTACACACGAGTTTACTTACACGTGCATTTGAACGTTTGTGCCCAGCGAACGGCCGCTAAATTGAAGTGTCGCTACAATTTGTAACAGGAAAAATAAAACAACAAATCAGATATTGGTTACCGATAAATGTAACACTTTCGTAATTGACTGTATTTCAATATCGGACAAGAACTTTGCTTTTACCTTACCATTTGCTGTAATTTACAATTTTTACTGAACTTTAATGTGTTGAATAAAATTTTGTAATACACATGCGCATGTATGTGCGAGGCTATATACTAAATATGTTGTAAATATACAACAAATAGCATGGATTTCAATATTGAACAGCTGTAGAAAGAAATAAAATTATATTAATTAGAGATTATGTATTACAAGTTTATGGGGCATTCCACGTGAAATCGAACTACACTTGTCATAATTTTTTATGTTATAAATAGTTTTATAATTATGCTGCTGGTTAGCAGTGCGCGCTTCGTCCCTCGGCAGGCAATGGCAAACCTTCGAGTGTATTTGTGCCATGATAAACAGCTTCTCATAAAAATACAATCGCCGCTCGGCGTAAAACTGTACGTCCCTCCGCTTTGTGTGACAACATTAATGCGGACGCCACAAATAGGAGGAGAAGCCAAAAAGTAATATATGTGTAAGCGCCAATCTATTAGTAGGTATTATTTTGTTTTTTGTTCAGCGATTTACGTTCTTTGAAAAAAAAAAATACCTTTTTAAGATGCTCATAACTTTGCGAAAAATTTTGCATTTAACATAGTGAAATTATACTAGTTGTAGTAATAAGAGCGGACAGAAAGATTTGATACTATATTATTTGAAAATCTTCCAAGATTTCTATGAGATAGCCGAATGTCAAGAAAATTAAGAAAATAAAGCGATAAAGCTGTTTTATTAAATACTTCACCTGTTTATTATTTCACCACGCCATTTAAAAGCTTTGTTTTTAAAACTTTTGTTTTTCAAAACGCTTTTGGTTATAGATATCCCGTTAAAAGTTAAAAAAAACCGGTACTAAATATGACATAAAAAGCCAAATGGTGTCCGATTTGGCGTGGAATGCCACATATACGTAATTGCAACAGATATTACTATTATTTCAACAATTGCTTAAATAAATACGTAGTCTTACGTCTTTATTTATATTTTTACTTGTAAATCTCGTAATTTTTCTTAATAAATGTTTACATTTTGTAAATGTATGTGCCTTGTGTGCAAGTAGCATTTTCGCATTATGCTGCGCATTTTGAAATCCTTAAGTTCTTATGCATATATTTGAGTGTAATTAAATTTTTCTTTAGATATTAAACTAATTTCTAAGTTGACTTCATTACACCGCACTAAATTTATTTAATAACTAGCTTTTGCCCGCAGCTACAACCGCTTGAAGTGCGGTTTAACACTTTCAAATATAAGTAACAAAACTAGTAAGAGCAGCGCCGTCTTCGGCTATGCTGAAGGCTTCATAACTTTCGTGAACATCTTAACATTTAAAAAAATGTATACATTCACAGCATACATAGATACGGGAGTTACATATATAAAAAATCAATTCTAAACAATCGGAGGTATGGAAGATATATCTTATATAGCACCAATCTAAGTGATTTTCGCTATTGTTGTTATGAATCTATGAACTCCGCTGCAAAACAACTCATACAGAATCCATAGGAAGCTTCCGGTTCCGCGTACCTCCTAAAAGCCATTTGTGTGCACTAGCACTCCATCTGTTTCAGTCATGGGGGGTTTCGGCTTTTCATGACCCTCAAAGGGACATTCAAAAGAACACGCGAGATAAGAAAATTTGCACACAAGTAAAATCTATCCAAAAGAAACCAGTGAACCGAAGCTCTCTCTATTCCTGCCTGCTAAATCTCCTTTTAACTTAAACACCTACCAACCAAACGAATGCTTAACAGCCACTGAAGCGAGCAACGAAACGAGGCAGGCTGAAAGTTCGAGGAGTGACGTAGAATGTTCCTCAAAGAGAAACGTCAAGTTGGATGAAGACAGCGAGAGAAAGAGAATGAGCGATGAACTTCAGAACGTTCGAGAGTTGCCATGAAAGCGAGCGCAGGTATATAGGAGCCACGAGACAGCGGAGTTACAAGTCCGCAAGCTACAAGTAAAGTGAGTTGCGAATAAGCAAGCTATAAGTTTAATTGTGTTAACAAGTTTTGTAAAGCGTTGTAATTGCTTTAACGAGTACTATAAAGTGTTTTTACGGTATTAGCAAGTATTGTTAATTGTTTGTTGTACAATAAAGTTACTTGTACTAATTTGGTCATCGTTAGCGTTTATTTAACAATCCAGCGATACGAACCGAAGAATTTGGGACATCCCTCAAGGTTTCAAAGATAATCGTAACAATTTAATGTAAGCAGAGCAGGGTTTCAAAAAGATGATGAGCGCAAAGTGATGGTTAACAAAGAAATATAGAAATCGATTGACGTGGTCCAAAGTTAGGCGGTAGCATACATAAAAAAAAAGTATTCCGACGAATTGGTAACCTTCTCCTTTTTGTGAAGTCGGTTAAAAATTCAATATTCAAAACGAGTCAATATGTGCGTGTCGCATAGTTATGATAAGCACTATACTTTAACTTATGCAAATTTATTTAACTCTTCAACAATTGCCAATTAAACTAAAATTCTGTTTACCTATATATTTATCTTTCTTTATGCAAGCAAATTCCAATGCAAACCCGTTTCCAATTAAATTCAATTTAAGTGAATCACAAAGGTTGTTTATTTAATTGCAGTGTGCTCAAAATTCCACGATCTTATAACTAAAATTTTTATTCAATTTGTATGTATATACATATGTATGTATGTAAATACTTAAAATATAATTATAATTAAACAGTGATATGCAATTTCACAAATCTTACTTGTGCTAATAAAAGTTGGAAAAATATTTATAAACTAAATAATAGTACATAAGTAGCAGATATATTTATGTATGTATTTATTGCTCCTTTTAATTCATCTTTAATTCTAATAAAATACTTCATTTGCCAGAAGTCTTTTTGTGTGTTATTTTTTTAATTATAATAAGTAAATTTCAATGTATCCATATCGATTTAATAAACAAGTGCATAACTAGTATACGAGTAAATTCAATATATGTAAATACATACATATTTATGTACGAATGTATTCTACGCATGCTCTTACACTAAATCTAACATTTCAAATACTTTTATATATGTGTGTGTGTGTGTGTGTGTGTGTATTAATTTTCGGTCTTTTGTTTTTAATTCTAAATATTTGTGTTGAGATAATTTTGTGTGTTGAGCTGAATTGCACCCTTAAATTTTCGTAATAGCAACACAGTTTAAATTTTCACTAAACTACCTTCTCTGTTAATGACCTACTAACTATAATATTAACTTCATTATGCTTTATTATTAATATAATTCAAAATGTTTTCTCTAAATGTAATACAGACGTTAAGTAGTGCAATCATTTAACGCATAATATTTCACAAATTCGTACCTTAATTTCTACCCACAAAGGCATGTATATTAATGCGCACTCACCAAAAATTCGTTGCTCTCAAAACATAAACAAATAAAATAATAAATACGAGTAAAAAATAATGATTTTGTAAATGATGGCTGCGTCGAAACAAATTGCAGCAAAGTAAGATTTTTGTAATTTTATGGCTCCATACTCTTAATCTATCTGCTCCAATAATGTGATCCCAGCGAGGCTACAGCTATGCCTGAAATAATAATCGCAAGCGAACGACCAAATCGGGACTGATGCAGAGGCACACCATCATCACTGAGGCCATCGTGACACATTTCAGGATGTCGAGTGAAGTCCTCGCAGTAGAGCTGAAAGTTTTGAAAGGTATTCAGATGTTATTTCAAAGTCATACAAAGCATAAAGTAAAATTTTTGGTTGTTAACAAAAGAGTTAGATATTTGTTTAGAGGACCCGAAAACGGAACAACATTTTAATAGCAATAACACTTATATGACAAATATGACTATTATGATGGCTTGCGAACCCCCTAAGAAGCTTACGGTTAACGGCAATGAGACACTTACTATATCCTTGTGAATACCTCAATTGTTAGGAAATAGTTAGATAACAGTATATTCATACTAAATCCCCAAATACTTAGTATTTGCAGAGATCTAAGTACTTAGGGAAAACATGTAGGTACTAAATTAAAAAAGAACGTAGGATTTGCTAAATATTAAATTTTAAAAAATACCTAAGTATTTAAAAGTTGCTAAATATTAAAGCAAAAACTCGAAAGCATTTATTAAAGGCTAAATACTTTGATTTAAAGTACCTACGTACTTTAGAGAAACAATACTCTCGCACCATAAACAAATTTTATTTCTGAAAATCCCGAAACAGTCGCGAAAATCCTGAAACTGTCCTGAAGCGTGAGCGAGAAGTGGTCCCAAAGACCGGAATAGTCCCGAAACCCTCTAAAGAGTTCCAAAGGCCCGAAATAGTCCCGAAAATCTCCAGGTATACATAGTCCAGATAATCCCGAAAATACTGATAATACCGAAGTAGTTTCTAAACTCCCGAAATAGTCCCGATAATCGTGAAATGCTGAAATTCCTGATATACATAGCTCCGGGTATATCGAAAATCTTCAAAATGACGAAATAGTCCCAAAAATACCGAAATAGCTCTAAGAATGCCAAAAATCCTAAAAATTTCGAAGTCGTCTCCAAAAACTCGCAGTAGTCGCAAACATCTTAAATACTAGTTCCCAAAATCGCTACGTTCTTTATTTTTATACTAACTAAATAGTAAGTATTTAGTATCAAGTTTTATGTGAAGCCAACATGTCTGAGTATGTTTTAATGCGTTATTTCGTTAGATTAAAATAACCAAATACTTTTATACTTAGTGCTGTCAAAATAATTCAATAAATAAACCTAAAGCACAATTAAAGTATGAACGTCCTATCAAAGACGGTATGAAGTAACATCCAAAAAACTATTTTGGTATTTACTGCAACAAAAATACTTAAAAACCTTTGTACTTAGTATTTAGTAAATAAAATTTGGCCGGAAGCGTCATCGCCTGAAAAGCTTGGATTGAAGTTCTAACTGAAGAATTATATACAGTGACTGAAGCAAGTGACCACGACTTGATTTTTTTTTTAATATTCGTAATGTTTTTTTAGCTAAATATTTTTTGTTATTTTTCTATCAAAATACCGTCCAAGCTTTAACCAAAACTATATAAATCACAATTTCAAACTTTATACAAAATATCAACTTTTTAATATGAAACTTTAGAGCATTTTTGGGTATGCAGTTTTATAGCCCATGCAGTTTTAGTGTAATGATTTCCTTTTAGTTTGCTTTTGCTTTTTTTTATATATAACAAGTGCAATTTACAAAAACTGGTGTCGATTTTTTGAAATTTGGTTGCGAACGGTCTCCCGCATTTCATTTCATAAGAAATTCACCGTTACCAAAAAAAAATCTCAAAAATCAACGGGATTTTTAGCCGTTTGCACTTTATTATTAAGATTTAAAAATGTAAAATTTGTTGAATTTTCTTAAAATTTTTATACAGTGGGAAACTGTGATTTATATGGTTTTGGTTAAAGCTGGGACAATATTTTTATTGGAGAATAACAAAAAAAAATTAACTCGAAAAACATTATGAGTATTTAAAAAAATCAAATATGTGTACGCAATTTTTGTATTTCGACTGCTGAGCGGAAGATCGACCTATTTCGGCAGCCAGTTCGAAGACGGCCTATCTCAAAAAACTTTTCAAGAACGCCCTATCACAGAATTTGTTTGAAGAACGCCCTATTTCAGAATTCGTAGGACGTTTTCGAACTGGCGGCCGAGATGGGTCGGTCTTCCACTCAGCAGTCGATTTGTAGAATCGATGCCAACTTATGTGCTCGACTTTCAGAAATATACAATTTTTTCATGGACACTTTACAAGCAATACTTTTAAAACTAACTCACCTTAGTTAAGCTATTCGCATATTTATCAACCAGTTCGCGTGTGAATTTCGCTGCATCGGGGCCGCATATTTTACGCGCTGCATCCTCTGAACAATCAACTAACTCATTAATTGAACTGTAAATAAAACCGAAAAAAGAAGTTTTAAATTTTTTTTAGCAACTTAAATATGTACAACGTATGTATGTATACGACTATTTATAACTGTCCCCAACTCTTACGCACCAGCAGATGGTTTTTATATTTTCATTTAAAGTAATATTCTCGTGACTTTCTTGATTCTTATTCGGCTTCAGGAAAACCATTGTCTCCTTATAACGATTGGCGCACACCTCAAATTCTTTTTTGGCCATTTCCGAGCAGGGCGCATGTTTTAGATACTCTAAAAAATAGAAATTATAAAAAGAATTACTTTAATATGCGGGCGTAATTTTACTTAAGGATTTTTTTGAGCCATAGAGCAGGTTTGTTATATTCATGTAAATGGGCATATTTTTAACTCACCATCCTGGAATTCCCCCTTAATACACAAGTCACGAATGAATTGATTTGTGCCATGATATAACTTATTGAACTGGTTTCTTTGCTGTAGCGGCATACAGCGCCGCGTATAACTTTGTATGCAACGGACGCCTTTTTTTAATTCACTAAAAAAATTAAAAAATTAACAAATTTTTATTGTCTATAAATATAGCAAAAAAAATATAAATGAATGTATGTATTTAATAAAACTAAATTAAAAACTCATTTGGACAATGATTCAAGGCAACGAAATAGCCGAGGACCTAGAGGGAATAGGGACTGCTCTGGATATTTCTATGGCAGAAGAAGTTATGTTACCTCTGAGCTATGTATGTATATCAAGAGGCGGCAACTCTAAGTACTGACAAAATATGGCGTGCCGCAGGTGGAGAATATGGTCCATCTACTTAGCAAACCAGCACTTCAGTTAACATCAAATATTTTGCGGTTTAACAGAAGAAATTGATGTTAAGACACTGAAGCTTCCTAGGTTCCTAAATTTTTTCGGCTGGGTCTAAGAGAAAAAATCATTTCCTGCTGTTCTTATTTTTGTATATTTTTCACGTTATTGTTTCAATGCATATACTTACATACAATGTAGGCTCAAAAACATATGACTAGAAATGATTCCTAACAAAATTCAAGTATGTACATTAGGGCGGAATAATTTTATTTCGAAAAAAGTGTATGTAATACTCGAATTCCACGATCGATTCTAAACAAAAATGGTGACTATATGCGAAAAATGACGTTTGACCCTCACAATTTTGTAAAGAAAAATCAGTGTATTATAATTGTTGTTTTTTAGAACGAAATGAATTTTTCATTTATAAAATTTTGTGGTTTCTTCATACAATATACTGCTTTTTCTTTTGATAATTGGGAGGGTCAAATGTCATTTTTGGTACATAGTTTGGTTACCATTTTTGCTTAGAATTAATCGTGGAATTTCTTCAAAAATTTTGCTCCGGACAAATTACTCCGCTCTAATGTGCATACTTATAAACATGAAACTACGAATTTTTGAGAATGTTAACGGCAAAGGAACACAAAAGCGTAGGAATACATACACACATTCACCTAGGCGTTCAGCGTCCCTCACAAAATTAAATTAAAACTTTTATAATTTCTTGATTTTTTCATATCAATACCAATCCACCTTCCTGCCTATTGTAATATTACAAAAAATGTTACTTGCAAAATTCAATATGCTGCATGCTTCTACTTTACTTTACTTATGTAACGAACCGAAGGTTTTTTTTTCAAACTCATTTCGCAAAACAGATGATCCGCTTAGAATTTTAAATGAACTCGATTTTTATGCGCACAATATGAATGCATGTGTGTGTGTGTGCATAACTGTGTCCTTTTTGTTTTACACGAAAGAGACTAACTAGCACAGTCTTAGTTGGTAGTGGACAAACTCATCATCGAATGCTGAATACCAAGTGCTTAACGTCGACCAATGAATGATAAGGTCACTTAAAATGAAAAAAACGAACTGCTCCTGGCAATGGAGTGCTAACGTGCAATCAACACTAATTTTTGAGTAACTAAATAGGCATACGAAAGCTAAGGTTGTCCGGTATAAACGAGAAAAAATGCCGTGAGGAATGCTGTACGACAATACCACAATAAGTAACTGTTGAGCGAGCACTGTCCTGAGAGCACGTAAGCAAACGCACGGATGAATTGACAAGTGGACGGATGGATATCGAAACGAAAACAAAAACACGGCGTTTCAAATCAAAATTTCAAGTTAACTTTTTTCGCACATGGTTTTGCAGCAGCGTATGTGTGTCTATATGTTAGGATTAAGGAAAACTTGTTGTTTTAAATTTTCAAAAAAAAAGTGTAGTTACGTGCGTTCATTGTGGTGCTCCATGACCTGGATTGTAGAAGCAAAAGACTTTTAAGTCATTAGCTTCTTCAAGTCTACACAATAAAAATTATAAATTCATCAACTTAGAACTGCATGGTAGAGATAATAAGTGAAGTGGATTCGATATTCGCCCAAAAGCTAAATTTATATAAGCGTATACTTCGCGCATGCCTCAATATTGTGGGCGTGTTTTGTATCTTTTGAGATTAAATCTTTTAATCACTAAGATTCGAACCAAATGGAGCCAATAATTTTAATACAAGTCCTTTTGAAAGAATTTTCATCATTTTGCTGCTGCAACAGCGTGTAGACCAGTGATGGAAAAGTAGGTACCTTTTTCAGCCCTTTTATAATTTGAAAGCACATTCGGTACATATATACCATTTTCGGTACATTTTCAACTTAGCCAAATACATTTTCCAGGAATTCGTTTCTCCTTGCAGTTATACCAACCTCTCGAACACAACTCTTCCTTATCAGACATCGTCAGAATGATCAAGGCTTTGTTAAGGTTGATTTATATTCGTTTTTAAGCCCACTGCTAAGCCTAAATAAGCACAAGCGGGCAAGAGTTGAGCTTCTTTCGATCCCTGACTGACAGTAGGCTGGCTCCTAAGTAAACAAAGTTTATATTATGGTTTCGAAATAATGGATGTCTACAGTGCCATACCCTTGAAAAGTTCAAATGTAATAGTATTTAATGTAAAATAGATCAAACACACATTTTTAAATATCCATTGAATTACATAAATTATATAGTAGACCTCTCCGAAGCCAAACAACATTTTGGCGACATACGAAGACACCAAGCGAATGCGAGATCCTGGCCTGTATATAAAGGTTTTGGCGAAGAAATTTTTCAGAAGCATTGTCAAAAGCATGGGGTCAGGGTTTGTTGAAAGAAAGTTATTCTAAAACTTTGTTTGGCCTCGAAAAGTTCTTCCAGCAGTGGAATCCTGACAATCGCTAAGCTAAATTTTCGTCGCCAAAATTCTCTAAATGAAAAGCAGTGGAGCCTAAAAGTACTCAACATGGAAAAGTAACAAATGCAATGTGTTAATCAGCCAAATCTGGTAAATGTTGTTTGTTGTTGGACCGGCTATTCCTTTGGAGATTTTTAGCGATCAAAATTAGCCGTAGTGAATTCCGGGATCCGGCTGCAGTTTACACAGATCTTTACATATTAGAGAACGTTATCCAAAAATCAGGCATGGCAGATTTTCACCATAATTTCGTACTGTTGGACAGATTTGACGTAATGTGAAAATGTACATACACATTTTTTAGGTACATTCGTCTGCTGTTAGGTACAATTTCTTCCTTCCTTTTTCCATCCCTGGTGTAGACCCTGCATAAGAATAGTCAGAGTTACTAGATATTTCTCCGTAGCCAAAACGACAATTTCGTTGACGTAGACTACCATGGCGCCGCTTCTTCTATTTCCTTCAAGAAGCTGAGAACAGCGATGTTCCATAGTAGAGGTGATGGCACGCTCTTCGTGTATGCATTAACTTCAATTCAACGGGAATAAGTCAAAATTGTTTTCTATATGACAATTTTGATGCAGTTCCATTCGTTTAAATGAGCTCTGCTGAACTGCGTCAAATTTGCCATATTGGAAAATTCTGACTTGATGCCTTTGGTAGTTAACCGATTCATATGCTGTATAAATTATTTTTAATCTTAGAATATGAGACCCAATGTTTTCTTAAGGTCGAGAGGTAATTTGTAGGGTAAGAGGCTGCAAATATCCGCTTTAATGCTGCCATCAGAAATAGTGCTGATGAGGCATTACCCGTCTGTGGCGATAATTTGGAAGTTATTCAATGCTCTGACGTTGGATTTTGCGGCGGAAGGTAAAGTTTCTCGGCGCAGCGGCTTGATGTTTTAGGAAGTTAACTAGACAGGGTAATAGTAGGGGTAAAGAATACTCGGCAGCCTTATACATTTTTTGGAGGAACAATTGGAAAACGCTGGAACCTCCGGCCAAGGGTTGTTTGTTACGCAGACAGTTATGCATACATATGTTCGTATTAAGCGCCAGTTTTCCGGGAGCGCTAGATCACTGCTTCAACTTTCCGCAACAAGTATTGTCATGAGAATTAACGGTGTGTATCAAATTTGAGATAAATAAATCCGGACGGGACGGCAAATTACTAAATTTTACCCAAACAAGGGTTAAAACTGCTAACACGATTCAGAAATTGTGGTTAAAAATGTCCAACAAAAATATGTGCCATTAAATTTTACGGAATTTTCAAATAATTTAAGTCGTCTTATGACCAAATTAAGCTGCCTTTACACGAGGCGATTTTTTTACAGGCGATAATCGCATGCAAAGTTGAATTGCTGTCTACTTTGAGGCAAACGATTTTTGAATTACCATTTACACGAGCGATTTTCCTTGAGTAATGTGGAATCGCCAAAAAAATCGCCTCATGTAAATCCAGCATTAGGGGAACCACATTCGCCATACCGCATTCGCGTCTTTTTTTTTTTTTGGCTGTCGCACAATGTTATCTTTAATTATTTAAGTCCTAAAAATAGCAAGCGAAAAAACTGCCGAATTTATTGACCGTAATGCATATTGAAACATAATCTATTTCTTCCTAGTCACCGGATACATGCATACATATATACACACATACATAAGTGCATCGGTTATGCATGCACACATTTTACGCTTATGTATTTCTCTCCTTGATAATGACTTCAATTAATTAAGATTTTATACCAAGTCGATTTTCGTACCGGCAACATTTTCTACTTATGGCAACTGATTGCACTAACTATAATTGACGATGGTTTGTAGCTGATAGTTGCAGGCAGTCTGTTACCAAAAACAAAAAACAAAAAACAAAAAAACACAACTTTCTTTTACATTTAGTGGAAATTAGAAGGTAATATTAATTTTGCTAGTAAAAACCGCAAATTGTACAGCGCAATTAATTTTTGCACCAAATCAAGAAAACAGAAAAGAAACAAGAAGCTACGAAATTCGGCTGCGCTCAGTAATTACTTGCACCCTGCCATTAGTGCTTTGTACTGATGAGCGGCGCAACTAGCTGCGAGAGTAGTCAGTAGTCTCCGACCGACCGACCGACCGACCGACCGCCGCCACCAGGTGAGGTATTCAGCAAGCAGCTTTTTCATCACGAAACTCGAAAAGAAATCGGGGGCAAACGGAAAGTGTGGAATTAAATAATTGAAAAAAAATAAACTTTTTCTTCTTCGTTGATAGCGTTGACTTACTTGCAAAGTTTATCCAGTTCGTCCTTCTTGGCAGGGCCGATGGAAAACTCGGAGGTTAAATGTAGCATTTCCAGAGGCTCAGCACATTTTGTGAACTCCTCCTGGCCACACTCCTCACCACGAACGCTCGTCACCAGCTCGTTGCCGACGAATGCAACTGAAAAGATACCAAAAAAAAAAACGAAACAGAATGAACGAGAGTTACAGAAAATGTCGTCACATTAGAGATGACAATAATTGTGACCAGAAGTGTGGTGCGACGGAGTGCGAGACGGGGTTTACGGAGGGAAGGCGCACACGGAGCGTAGCATGTGGAAAATAGCATGAAACTTTGATACCAATTGGAAAACTTCAAGTTGCGACACACAACTTGCAGTTGCAATCAGTAGCAACATCGGCGCAGCACAGCTCACTCACCCCCGCCACCTTTCACGACAGCTACTCGTAAGCTGCTAGCAGTGCAATTTGCGTCTTACACAGAACAAACTCATCACACAACACACCGGGCGACACGACAACGACATTCAATGTGGCTCAACAACAAAGTTGAGAATGTGCACCGAGAGTAATAAAATCCTTTGTACGTTAAATTGCTACCAAACGCAGTAAACGACAATAACACTAACAACAAAGTGGCATAGATTCAGAACAGCAGCAGTAGTTGAATACATACTCGTTGCAGGAGCGTATGTAGCTGTGGCGGTGACCACAACGTTTGGTGGGTGGTAGGGTTGGATTGCGTTTAGTAGGGTTAAGGGACAGTCGTTGGTCTTTGTGATATGCGTTGTTTCGGGGTAAAAGGCCACCAAGCGGTTAAATTGAAATATTGCACTTTTTATTGCAGTTCCTTTGGTCAATAACGCTGATAAATGGAGCTTGGGTAGATTCCAAATCGTATTTAGCGCATGTATGTTTGTTTGTGCTAGTGCGAGTATAAGGATGAATGAAAACTCTTCCTAAATGCATACATACATATGTATGTACACACATTTTTATTTGTGTAGGTGTGTACGTACATATGTATATAAACTTGAGCTATTAAGTATGCCTTAAATCCCTGCGTACATATTTTGTTTTGATCAGTTTAGACAACTGAGAGATGCTGCGTTTTGATAAAAGTTGTCCAAGACGTGCCGAATTTGAGAATGCAAGTGACGTACATGTCTCCAAAGATACATGTGTGGATTACGCAATGCGTGTGTATGCATATGTAGGGTATCCCCTGCTGTAATACAACATACATACATAATTATGTATATGAGTAAATGTCACAAGCTAAATTTTTCGGTACTCATGCACATATACCCGCAGTCATCTAACACGTTTACTCGCCCTAACTTAACCATCATCGGTCTCCCTAAAAATTTGTCGAATTTATTCTAATCAGATTTTTTAAGAAAATTCTAAGTATGCAGTTATATAGCCCATTAAATTTTAGCATAATAAAGTGCAAGTTTGAAGTTGCTAGAAAATCGCATTGAGTTTTAGCAAGTTTTTTAAGTGGAAGGTTTTGGCAACACATTAATGCGATTTTCAAGCAAATTAAAGCTAGCCAAATTCTCCATACACCGTACATACATCACTTTTCGATAGATCTGAAACTTTCTGAGAAATTAATTAATAATATAGATTTTTTGTTTTCTTGATAAAAAATTAAATATAATCAAACTTTAACAGGAGAAAAGTTTTAAAATAACAGATTCTGCGTACATTTTTTGCGTTTGTGTTAAAGCCTGTTCTGTTAAAAAAAAAAATCAAATTGCTAATGAAGAAAATTGATGGTTAAATAAAGCAGTAATGGGTGGTCAAATGAAAATGCGCAAAATTTTTTTTTTTGTATGAAATATGTGCAGAAAAGAGTGTTACTAAGGTGTACATGGCGTATGAGTGACATTCTTTCCTGCTAATTTTTCATACAAAAACTCTTCGGGTATTTTCACTTGACCCCTCGTTACTTCTTTCTTCTTCTACTTTCTTCGATTTGCTTCATTAGTAACTTGATTTTTTTTTCTTTTGTAGCAGAACAGGCTTTAACACAAATGGAAAAAATTGGCACAGAATCTGTTGTTTTTATTCTTCTGTTTAAGTTTGATTTTTTTTCACTAAAAAATAAAAAACTAGAATGATTAACAAATTTCTCAAAAATAATCAGTCCGGAAATCGGAAAGCGGTGTATATACGGTATATGGAGAATTTTGTTAGCTTTCATTTACCATATTTAATATTAAGAGTGTTAAATTGGTTCGTATATCTTATACGTGATTTAGTGGAACCACTTTTTGTTTTAAACTGAATAGCGGTAAATTGAAAATATCTCGAAAACTTATCCATAGAATAAAAAATTAACTCGACTTTCGGAATCAGTTGCCGATTCTACATGACAAATGCATAGGGGATCAGAAATAAAACACAAATTTTTGACCCAGTGTAATCAAGTACAATAATGTAAGATTATAAAAGTGAGTAAATTTCCCATATATAAAAACCACTTTTACATGCACTAAACATAAAAACAACAAGACGCGCGGTACAGCCACTTTAAGTTAAAGATATGAGCTATAGATTCTGTTAGTTTCATGTTTTTATACAGCAGGCAACATGATCATTTCGTATCGGCAGCTGCTGCAGCTCGCCTGACATAACAATAGTCGGCGCTTGTCTGATAAACAGCGTATCATGGCGACCTATGCTGACTTTGGCATCAGACCATCTACCCATAGTCATCTCGATCGATAAACCAGCCGACTTTCCTTCCGCGGAACACCGAAGCTATATCTACTTTTCTAAAGCTGATTGGAAAGGCTTCGTGCTCCCCATACCAACCGACGTCCACCTTGGTGAACGTAAGTTCCGCAGGGTGTTTCGCTGCTGCTGCAGCTCGCTTCGTACCGGCAGGATGTATCACAGACCCTCGTCCAAACTTCCCTGCTAAAGCGGCTGTCCTAGCCGATGTGTGTGACAACTTTCGTCAGGCCGATCCCGGAAATCCCCGTATCAGGGATCTCAGCGCGGAGATTCGGCAGCTTGTTAACGTACATAAGCGGAAAAAGTGGGAAGAGCATCTGAAGACTTGCAACTTCGGCTCTGGTGTGAGTAAGCTTTGGTCAACCGTGAGGTCACTGTCTAATCCGACGAAGCACGACGACAGGGTAGAAATTTCTTTCGGCGACCATGCTTCGTCGGATCCGGATCGATGCGCGAGGCCTTGCGCACGAACCACCAGACCCCAGCGAAGCATCAACATGGTTTCCGTTAAGTGCACAGTGCAACAACAGCTATTAACGCCATAAACACTCAGATAACACGTGGCCTTAACCGCAACCGTCCGTGAGAGAACTATTCTGGTAGCGTTGGACCTTTCAAAAACGTTTGACACCGTCAGCCACTCAACGCTACTAGAGGCTCAAACGATGATCGGCGAATTATCTGAGTGGTCGACACTCGTCGGTAAGTTTTAGAGAAAAATCGAGCAAACTTAGAAAAATAAAACAGGGGCTTCCACAGGGTGGTGTCCATTCCCCGCTACTGTTTAACTTTTCATTTCAAAGCTCCCTCAATCACCAGAGGGAGTCTAGATTGTCTCTTACCCGACGATTGCTCGATCAGGCCGACTGGGAATGGAATTGATGACGTGTGTTCGAAATTAAACGGGTATCTCTCCGAGCTTTCTCGCTTCGTCACTGCAAGGAGCCTAACCCTCTCCCCGACAAAATCCTCTGCGAACTTGTGCACCACCTGGACGAAAGAGGTCAGGCTACCGCTGGGGATTCACGTTGATGATACACCAATTCCGAAGGTGACTAACCCCAAAAAACTCGGAGTAACCTTCGACAGTCTGCTCTCCATCTCTGTGCACACAACCCTTATTGTCAACAAAGTACAGAGCCGCAACAAGGTCCTCAAGTTGCTAGCAGGCAGTACTTGGTGCAAAGACAAAGCAACGTTGCTGGCAACATACAAGGCAATAGGCCGGCCGGTTTTAAATTACGCAGCCTCAGTGTGGTCACCGGGGACTAGTAGAACGCAGTGGATAAAGCTGCAGACGACCCAAAACGCCGCACTACGGACAGCGACTGGATGCCTTCTGATGCCGTCAGAACACCACCTGTACGACGAGGCGAAATTGCTCCCAGTCAAGGAGCACAACACAATGCTCTGCAAGCAGTTCTCGTGGTCACTCTGATGGGCAGCTGCTTGCAGAAGAGGCCTCGCCCAGGCACGTCAGGAGGCTCTCTACGAACTGACGGACGAAGTCCAGAGGTCCATTAAACAACATTCATAGCGAGGCAGTCTCGAGATATGTAGACTTCAGACCTGTGAATGCCGTTCTAGGCGCACAACCACCGGACTTTGACGAGACGGAGCTTCATCTGCAGCAGGTTAAACTCATACCTGAGCAAACTAAACGCAGTGTCCGGTATGCGGAGAGACACCCCATGGCTCGAAACATCTCTTCGTATGCCCGGAAAACCCGACAACCCGAACGCCTTTGTCCCTGTGCACCGACCCTATCGAGGCTGCACGCTTCTTAGGGCTGCCGTTAGTGGAACTTGACGACAACAACTGAGATATCAACCGATCTAAAAAAAAATATATAAAAAAACACGTAATTTTAAGACGCAGACATTACATGCATAAAAAATGTATTTACAAATATGAATGTAAGTATGTAGTATCTCGCTTATTCGAGCGAAAATCCCCATTTCGACATGTGCTCAAAGGATCATATAGAACCATTATTAGCAAAAAAATTTCTGGGAACATATGCTAACGATGATAACGCCCGAAGATAGGTCCCTTTTAGCATTCGGAGAGGAATTCAGTGATTGAATTAGGAGTGTTAACACTTTGGCAACGGTAAATACCGTAAACGATAAAGTGTATGAACTTTATAACGGCATAGACATGGACGCTCCAGCCCTAAAAGTATTCAACGCGGTAACCGTGGGGGATATCAGGGGAAGAGTTCGGCCCCAACTGGGCTGAAAAGACCAGGCGGAGAAGCACTTGATTTATCTTGGCATTACTTGGCGCGGAAGAGAACGATTGACGTGTTAAATTGAACTCGGCCTAAATCGCCTAGGCGGTTACAGTACCAAACATGAAGAAGAAGAAGAATATTAACCCAAAAAGTGGTACTGGGAAAAAATTTCACGTATAAGACTTTGCGTATTATGCACGGCAAGTATGTATGTATGTATCGAGCCCCCTTGCCATGGTT